CCCTCCTCCCCCTTCCTCTCCCTCAAATCCTCCTCCCTCTCTAAACACCCCCGCCCCTTTTCCGCCGCCACTTTCCGTTTCTCCGCCGCCGCCGTCCGCTCCCTCCTCGCTGACCTCCCCCCTGACTCCACCCCCTTTGCCTCCCTCGCCGCCCTCTTCTTCATCTCCATCTCCCGCGCCGCCAACTCAACATCTCCGACCTCGCCCTCCTCCCTCACCCTCATCACCGATTTTCGAAAGCGAATGTACGCTCCCCTGCCCCACGGTTTCTACGGCAACGCCGCCCATTTCTCCTCCGTCCAACTGGACCTCGATTCCGGCTTGTCCTCCGTGGCCAACTCCATTGAAAAACACGTCGCCGGTTTGGAGGAGGAGGAGTACTGGTCGGCGATCGAGTGGCTCGCGGAGCGCCAGGCGGGCGGCTGCGGAGCGTTCCAGATGTACGGTCCGGAGCTTACTTGCGTGAAACTGGATCACGTGATGGCTTATGCGGCGGAGATGGAGGAGGGGGTTGGGCCGGCGCATTTGTCGTGTTGGATCGAGGGGGCGGAGGGGGATGGGGTTATTACTGTGCTTCCTGCCGCGGAAAATGGGGAGGCGCGGACGGTGGAGGTGGTGCTGCCGGCTGAGGTGGCAGAGAAGGTTTTTAAAGACGAGCAGATTCTGCTGCGCGGGCCCAACGTTATCTTCTCCGGGAGGATTTAGGGGGATCGGGTTGAATGAATAATTAATTAATTGCTCGGACTTAAAAAAGTTGTGGGAAATAAAAAAGCCTGGTTGTAATATTCTGAGCAATTTATATCTATATTTCTTTTATGGGAGTTATTTGTTTGAATTCCCCACTCTTGTTGGGGTCTCTATTTGACTATTAATAATACATTGATGGATAATACACCTATAATTTAACTAGTTATATACTATTAATATATACAAAATGCATCTTTTTTTCATGCATAATTTTCTGCACTGAAGTGTTAAAAATATAAATATCAATATCTACTATTAATATTGACTTTCCTTGTGAATTAGTTCTCAATTAATGATTAACCACTACAATAGAAAATCATGTATTTTGTATGACGAAAATATTGTTTTAGAGTTTAAGATGTTGAGATTGTCCAAAGAACATGTTGAACTCGACTAGTCCGCCCGGGCAGCTCAGTTCAGCCCGACCAATCTTCGATAGGCCCGGCCAGGTACCAGTCGGCTCAGTCAAGTTCCACACAGTCCGACCTAGTAGCTTCATTTGGCCTAGCCAGCTCCATTCTGGCCGACCAATTTCTAGTCGACCAAGTTAGGTTCCAATCGACACAGTCAAATTCTATCTCGCTCAACCAAGCTACATTCTGCCCGACTATGTTCCACTCGACTAGACCCAACAAACTTTTTTCGGCCAGATATGTTCTATTTTGCTTAACTAGTTTCTATTCTGCCAAGTCAGGTCTAATCAGCCTGACCAGGTTCTAGTCGGCTTGTCCAAGCTCCGTTTTGCCTATCCAAATTCCACTTAGCTCGACTAGCTCCATTGGGCCCGACCAGTTTCAAGTGGGTAAAGTTAGGTTACAGTCGTCCCAAGCAAGCTCTTTTCGTCTCTGCTAGGTTCCACTCAACCCCAACCAGGTTCCTCTCAAGGAGGCTAGGTTCCACTCAGCCCCACCCAGTTTCTAGTCGAACCGACCAGGTTGCAATTGGTCCAAAAATGCCATTATGTTCGACAGGCTCCACTCGGCCATCTCTCGCCTAATGCATATAAGTAGACAGGCACTTTTTGTAATGAAAAAAAAAGGAAAAACCTAATTGACATGATTGATTGTAATTTTCATCTCTTTCTCTCTTTCTTACACTCTATTTCTAGTAAATTCGGATTCAACACATTATATAAAAACAAGCTTAGTACATTTTGAAAGGATTTAGTAATAATAAGAAAACTATAAAAAAAGGGCATTTATAATATATCAATATAAGTTAGGTCCCTCGACCACTTGACTCCTCAAATAACAAACACAGCAGTAATTATTATAATATATCAATTTAAATTTCATGTCATAAATAACAAATCAGTTGGCCACATGTGGAGATCTTGGCTTTTGTTAATTAATTCACTTAATTAGTTTAATGATTGATAATGATGGTTGATGAATAGGTACATATTAGTAATTAATAAAAATTAAGAAGATCTATTAATAATACTAAATGGTTTTTGGTATTATTGTAATTTTTCTTAAGTGGGCCTACTTTTGCAGATGGCTTTGATGGCTTTGATCTTATACTTTTTTTTTGATAAAAATACCAATACGGGCTTCTCTTATTGTGGTCAATTTGATCTTTGTTATTATAACAACTTATTCCATGAAAATAAATATTAATATAAAAGTTTATATTTTAAATATATAATGTATAGGAAGTGATATGTATTCATGTAAAATGTACGAGCCATTATCCCCATGAAATTTTAAATTAAAGATGACCTATATTTTATAATTTATTTTTGTCAATTTGATCGTTGATACTTTGATTATCATTTGTGCATGCAGTTGTGGTTTTTTTTTATCCAAGTTGTGGTAGATTCATGTTGTAAATAGGAATTACAATGAGTGACACAATATGGAAGCATGACCAACCGCTAGTGTCAACTTGGCTCTTAAGTTGTTAGGGGGGTTATTCTAAGTATAATATTACATAATATTACTTTGATTATATATCACCATACACAAACTACTGATAATTATAAGGAATATTTCAAACAAAGTCAATATGACTTTCACAACGAATTATAAATGGTTATTCATGTAGTTGATTCATATATATCTCTTAAGTTTTGAAGGCATCTCAAATCCTCTAAGAGCCTACAAGTGATTATTATACCCACTAAGAGTTGTGCTACGAGATAAACATAGTATCCATTTAACATGCTAAGTATAATTAATATTTTATAATAATATTCTATTTATACATCATCATACACAAACTATTGGTAATTATAAGGAATATTTCTAAAGAAGTTATGGTGACATTCACAAAAAAATTATAAATAGTTATTCATTTAGTTGATTCATATAGAATTTTTAAGTTTTGAATGCATCTCAAATTCTTTAAGAATCTACAAGCAATTATTTGTTCTGCAAGACAAACATAGTATTCATAGAACATAATACTCTCTCCAACATAAAAATACAAGGACATATTTTACAATAATACATGTACCACAATATTATAGATGCTTCATTAAGATTTAAGTTGCAACTGAACTCATTTTATGGTCATCTTTCACAAGACTTGTGTCATGATCTAAATAAATACAATCGCCACTCCAGACTAAACCACCTTATACACCTATCATTTCGGGGAAAACTTCTATTTAGCAAAATATAAACCTTAGATTCTTATAAAAAATATACAAATTTTCATTTAGTAAAATTAGGATTATGAAGTATTTATATTACATGTATAATGGTGTTGCTTTCAATTGGTGATCCACCAAGGCATTAATTTGTTGAAAAGGATGTCCTTAAGCTGGTAGAAATGATTATATTAAGGGTTGTAGGGTTGAGTGGAGAGGAGGTGCTTTGAGGGTGATTGATTAAGGCCTTAGAATGGGGTAAACCTAAGACAACTTTTAGGGTCTTGGAGAATGGTAGCAGGTTTAAGGTGATAACAAGGTATATTATGCCTTGGGATGGTTTGATGGATGTGTGTAAGACATTTTTTTGAGTTGACGGAGAGGTTCTTTGAGGTTTATGGCTTGTCGTAGGAGAAAGTTTAAACTAAAGTATAATAAGAATTAGTCTTAATTTGGGCTTCCAATAAGGATTCAATACTCTGGAGAATAAGAGGATGAGTGTATAAGGGAGAGGAGAAAGTAAAAAATATTGAGCATGAAACATATAAATGAATTGGACACTAATATATAATTGTTATTACTCTCCAAAGATATACCATTTGGAATGAAACTAAACAAAAAACTCAAGTTGGCAAAATTGGCAACTTTTTACTGTCCTCTCAAGGAGAAGCCCAGATTTGTTGATTTTGCTCTCCAGTCAGCACCCCTTTGATCACTTTTAACATTTGATCATTTAGGTCTTAGATATGTTGGATTACATACTGTCGGGTGCACTCCATGTTATCGTCAATCTCTCTATTGTGAGGTCCTTTTCCGTGCATTGTTTCTCTTCTTATTGGTGATATGATCCACACTCACCACACATTTTAGAATATTAAATAAAAAAATATTCATGAATGACACCTAAGGAATAGCGCATGAGAGAAGAGTGGAAAGGAAAATAAATGCAAAGATGATTCACTGGTAGGGCTATATTCTCTTAAATGAACCGTAGAAAAAAGCATAGAGACTACTACAATAAACACTTCCCTTATTTATAGAGGATTTAATACACTAGTAACATTATATTTTTGCTCCCATCTAGATGGGGTTCACACTGGGTACTTTAGGCATTTTTCAAGTGTCGATTAATCATCTTGTCATTTTTTTGCTCAATCTTATCTGCTTAGTCGGCTGAGCCTGGTCAGTTCAGCTCAGTCAATTATCTTGTTCAATTATCCAGATCGACCATCTTCACATCGATTTTTGACTCAGATAACTTGATTCAGTTGGTTTGATGGGTCCCGCAATCTCCTTGTAGGGGATCTTCCTCATTCTAAACTATTGGATTTCTGTGAGATATGCACCGACTCCTTTTGATGTACAATTATTTGTTGCGTAAATGTACGCCATTGCTATAAAATATTATAGGAAAATTTGCATACATACCACACAATTCTTATGTATTCACACATCTAACACCCACATTTTGGTACTTACATTTATCACATTTTGGTATCGTAAATCTATTCCTGACAAATGTATTTCCCTTTTGAGAAGACAGCGATAATAGTGTTTTTTAATGTGATGATAAAGATTTAAGTGATATATATGTTTAGGTGTTAGAAATATAAATGCATAATAATTGCCTAGTTATATAGAAATATCCATTTTTTAATAATAAATATACATTATCTTATTCTAGTGACGCATATAATACAATTAAATGAACTTTATGTATATAAAACAGAAATATTATAGAAAATATCGTTCATATAAACGTATTGCACATGTCAATGATATATATTTTGAAGAAACCCTAAATTATA